GGGACACTGATGTCAAGGGGAGGTGGGAGCCCAGGATGAACATAAAAATCCTGGAGATTTGGGTCTGCCCTGACCTCTGATACTTCTTTACCCACAATTCTTATTTTTCCATCCCCAAGACTACACAGTGGAGAATCTTATCCGGATTGTTGTGGCTGGCTTGGTCCTGGTGGTGCTCGGGGTGCTGCTATTTGAGGCTCGAAACAACCAGATAAGGACCCTCGATGCAGCCAGCATGTGAACACAGAGGGAACAATGCACTGTTCAGAGTGGAGAGCCTTGGAGCCCATCTGATAACCCCAGGAGGTGCTTAAAGAAAGTTGGGACCATTGTTGGGGAAACTGTCTGTTGAGAATGTCCAGGGGAGTTGATGTGGTAGGTGAGGTCTGGGTGCAGGAGAACATGGGTCATGTCCTCCACCATCCACCTGGGGTGCTGTCCCTCCCTCCCTGACCTCGCTGACTCTCTTCCACTGCCCTTCTGTTCTCACCCTGTGACATGAGGGTCCGTCCCCATGGCTTGTTCGGATTCACATCTATACACCCCTTCATGCTGGGTCAAATCCATCCCAACAAAATGAGGTATCTTAACAACCCTGGGATTAGTTTAAATCATAAAGGACAAAGGACAGGTACCTGGTCCATAGTGGGAAAACCTCATAATAATGCAGCTCAGTGACAGAAACCGGACACAAAATGGAATCAGGTTTTGTGTGATTCCCTTTATGCGAAATGTCCAGGAGAAGGAAACCCATAGAAACAGAAATCAGATTGGTTTGTCTGGGGTTGATCAGGAGGACAGATGAGAGACGGACTGTTTGGTGTGTTGTTTTTATTTTTTACTTCTTTTTTTTTAAGGGGGGAGGGAGTTTAAAACCTTCTTGAAACAAGATAGACATTGTCATTGAGACATTGTGTATTTATGGCATTCTAGTGAATTTCATATTTTAAATGCATGTTATGTGAATGTTGCTTCAATAAAAATAAATGCAAGTGAAACACACATGATTCCCTACAGCTGCCTTATACCTTGGAGGTTGCCCCACTGGTGTCCATGGGGTTTTATGGGAGCAGGACTCCCACCAGGTCAGAGGTGCCCTAAGTGCTTTAGTGCTTAGGGACCAACCCACTCATTAAATTTCCACCTTCACTCCGGACTTGGGTTGCGTCTAGGATCCCGGCTGAGACCCACCATCCCTTCATCGTTTCGTCTGCGCTCATCTGCCATTCAACCAAGGATGCGCTACAGCTTCAATTTAGTACCTTATAGGCTTGGGGGCTACACATGGGGCTTCCAAACAGCCCTTCCCACCACATATCTCTCATACACATGCCTTCATCGGGTCAGAAAATGACACCAGATTTTCAGCCGGCGTGGCTCAATGGTTGAGCGTTGACCTATGAGCCCAGAGGTGATTGTTCAATTTCTGGTCAAGGTACATGCCTGGGTTGTGGGCTCCATCTGTAGTGTAGGGATTGCAGCATGTGCCTGATCAATGATTCTCTCTCATCATTAATGTTTCTATCTCTCCCTTCCTCTCTGAAATTAATAAAAAAATTTGTTAAAAAAGAAAGAAAATGACACCAGATTGAGGCGTTTCTTGTCTCCAGCACTGCGGATCCTCATAACAACCCTCAGAGGTGAGGTTTCACAATTTTTTCCTACAGGCAAGGAAGGAGAGGAGAAGAGACTGGCTCAAAATAGATGCTTAATAAATGTGTCCTCAGGTCTTAGATTACAAGCTGGGAATTGTTTACAACATGCTCTTCTACCCAAAGCATAGAGATGGAATAAACAGAATTATACAAAGAGGTACTGTCTGGGGGACAAGAGGCGGTGAGGAGGCAGAAAGGACTCTGAAGGTTTGATGGAGAGGGATGGAGAGCAGGGGCTCTGCTCACAGAGACAAGGAAGTCAGAGAGAGGAAGTGATAGGGAGAAGCAGCAGCACACACCCAGGCCTGGAGGGCAGTGCTGGTTGCCTCTGTGGGTGAGTTGACAGTGTTGTAACATCCCCCAGGCCTCCTGCTTCTCTTGGGGTCAGCAACCTGGATACAGCCCCATTGGCTCCTGCAGGCAGCCAAGGAGGAGAGAGGAGGAACCCTCCATTCTCCCCTCTCTCCCCCTCACACACTGAACCAATCCCACTGTTCTGGCTCCTGGTTCTCCTTCCTGTGACCCAGTCCTCCCCACAGACAAGCTCAGGTGAAGACCCCGGACAGCTCGTTGATGTGACCCCATCAGCCTCCTTCTGGCCTCCTCCAGAACCTCATTGTTGGCTCAGGTGTTTCATTCTCATGGCCCCAAATATACCTCTCACCGACCATCCCCTGCACAAAGCCTGTCCACGGGTCCCCCCTGACTCCAGAAAAATCCAGGATCTCCACCAGGTAGTCTGTGCTGTTGGCGATCAGGCTGAGCTACACTTTCCAGTCCCAGTGAGGCCAATGCCTCCTCCAACAAAACCCATCCCAGTGAACCTCCTCCCCTCCCCGACACACAACCGGGGTTAGGACCACATTGTGCCTCCTCATGGGGCTCTGAGCCCATCAGAACAGAGTTGCAAGCCCTCCAAACCTCTTAGTCTAAAACAACATGCATTTATTCCAAAATGTATTCCCTACATTTTTGAAAGAAAGCAACAGACTTTGCAATAATCAATGTGTGAATCAAAAAAGAAGTGAATGTTTTAGATTAAATGATGATGTAACTACTACACATTAAACCTATGAAATGAAAATATGAAAAACCATGTGTGCTGGTGAGTGTGTATGTGTGTGTGTAAGCTTATGTGTGAATGTGTGTATGAATGTGCATGTGTGTGAGAGTGTGCAAATGTGTATGTGTTCATGGGCAGCTATACCCATCTGTCTGAGGGAAGCAGAGGTGAGAGCTGAGGTGGGAGGGTCACATCTGGATGGTCATGATCAGCCTGGAGTTCAGAAGGAAGAGTGTGGATTCACCCTGAAGACAGTGAGGACCATGGAAGGTTTTACCCATAAACAGCTTCTGAAAGGGAGTGGCAAGGGCAGATGTGGAGGGTGAACTGGAGAAGGGAGTGAGGGTGCGGAGCTCAGAGCTCAGGAAGGTGGTGGACGTGACCTCCCTCCCTGCCTTGTTGACTGGGGACACCAAGGGGCCCTCAGGACAGTGAGCCCAGGGGTGGGGGAGGCAGGAGTCTGGGGTTGTGCAAGATCCATCTGTTCCCACAGGGCAGCTCAGCACCTCCTCCTGGCCCTGGGACGCAGGTCCTACATCAGATTTTCTGTCTTTGTGAGCAGCGGGATGTCTCCATGTCCTGGGGGTGAATCATCGAAGTCATTTCTGCCCCTTCAGAGCACCATTGATGCCGGGTGTCACTCTCCTCTTCAAACTGTGGAGACTTATCAGGACTCAGACAAGAACAACATTATGGGAGTCCTGTTCCAAGGCAGTAACACACAAAGACACATTAAATATGAGTTGTGGTGCTACCACACCCTGAATGGTTGAAGGACACTTGAGCAGGCTACTTCCTCCTTTGACTTCTCAGCAAAACCAACACATGCCCCACAAAGATGGTGAGAATTTTTCTTGCCTGAGATATGCAGGAAATGAAACCAGCCATACTATGCAGATGTAGATGGTGGAGGTTTGAGAAATTGCAAAGTAGAGACACCTCATCCAAAGGAGCAGAAGGAAAACTCCTGGTCAGACCCCGAGTGTGGAGGCACCTGGACCGTTCAGTGAGGAGGTCATGGTCGTTTCATCGCATGGCGCTGGGCCAGTGGGTGAGTCTCTAGGACACGGTGAACATCTTACCTGCCTCACAGCATTTGCAATAAGCAATACCAAAACATGAAAAGTCATTCAATTACTGTTTCTTTTACTAAACTATCTTATTAACTTGTGAGAGAGATTTTTTTCTTCAAGTGCACATAAGAACACAAATTTAGGGGGAAATGGACACAGAGAATCACTAACATGAAGAACTTCTGTTTCTCATAGACCCAGCGAGACAGGAAGAGGATAATTGCGATGGCAAAATGGGACCACGGACTGGCACTCAGATCACCTAAGAAATATTACAGATCCGTAATGTGGCAGCAGAGAGCAATAGAAAAGCAAGCAAACACCTTTATCAAGCAACTGATATTGACATGGAAACGTGCAGTGACAGTACGTAAAGGTGATGAGCTGCCTTGGCTGGTGGATCTCAGTGGTTAGAGCATCAGCCTGACCACTGAAGGGTCACAGGTTTGCTTCCTGGTAAAGGGCATGTACCTTGGTTGCAGGTTTGCTCCTCAACCCTCATGTGGGATGCAACAAATTGATGTCTCTCTGACATCAATGTTTCTCTCTCTCTCTCCTTTCTGCCTCTCTACATCCCTCTGTCCCTTTCACTCTCTTTAAAAATCAATGGAAGAAAAAGATCCTGGGGTGAGGATATAAAAAAAGAATTTTTTTAAAAAAAGTTCTGAGCTTTATAAGTCATTGAAGAAATAAATGTACATCAAACCAAAGGGTGGTACCAACACTTATACTGAATAATGAAAATTAAAAAGGCAAGAAACACGAAGGGTTGGCTTGGATGAGAACCTACCAGGACCCCAAACCAGGGAAAGTCGAGGAAATGCTGAGGCCCCTGGGAAACTGCTCTGCTGAATCTTTCATAAATGAGATTCCTCAAGACCCTTGGTCGGAAGACCCATTGGGCTGTTCAGAGCCAGACTCTCAGGGGCCCATCAGGACCATTCCCTGGGTCCCGCCCTCTCTGAGCAGGAGTCAGACCAGCAGACACATGAGACCCTGAGGATCAGGTGAGACCTGAGAATCTGTCTCCCCTGAGCTCTCATCCTGGGAGATGAAGATCCAGGCCCAGGGCGGGACCACACCCTGGCTCTGTGTCCACAGCTGTGAAAACCCAGAAGGCGGCTCCTGACCCACCACATCCTGTGCGTGTCTGTCCTTTGGGCCCAGGACTCCTCCATCTGCAGAGCAGGAGCCCTCAGAGCAGACGCCATGATGTCCATCCTCTCTGCTCTTCTCTGCCTCGGTCAGTTGTGGACATGGGGAGGGGCAGCAGGAGGGAGAGAAGGAGGAGGGACAGGATGGGTACAACTCCTTGTTATTGGCAACCTCAGGTTCAAGCAGCCCAAGTCGACGGGGCCCTGATGAGAAGGGAATTAGCTGAGACATCCGGGTGCAAATCTCTCACAGGGACTCTCTTCCAGGGCTGAGTCTGGACCAGAGGACCCGTGTGCAGGCAGGTGAGTCCTCCCCAGGCTGCGTGTCCCTCCTCTTACTTCACCCCTGGGGCTTAGGGGGAGCACAGAGGTCCTGGGATGAGGTGATAAAATGAGAGGGTCTTGGGCTGAGCTGGGAAGGTGTTTGTAAAGCAGCCTCTGGTTTCCTTTTAGGGACCGTCCCCAAACCCACCATCTGGGCTGAGCCAGGCCCTGTGATCCCTTATTGGAGCCTTGTGACCATCTGGTGTCGGGGGATCCTGGAGGCTCAGGAGTACCGGCTGTATGCAGATGGCAGTCGTCAGTACTTGGACAGACAGAAATCGCAGGAGCCTGGAGACAGGGCCAAATTCCTCATTACAGGAAACTATGCAGAGAGATACACCTGTAACTACCTCAGCCCCACTGGCTGGTCAGGGCACAGTGACCCCCTGGAGCTGGGGGTGACAGGTGAGAGGACACTCAGGGGTCCCAGCCTCAGGCTCTGCCCTCAGGAAGGGGGTCTGCTCTCAGGGTGTCCCCATCTCACAGCCCAGCCCTGAGGGACGTGAGGGAGGTGTGAGCCCATTTAACACTCTGCCTCCTCCTCTCCTAGGATTCTACGACAAACCCAGCCTCTCAGCCCTGCCCAGCCCTGTGGTGACCTCAGGAGGGAACGTGACCCTCCAGTGTGGCTCAGGGCAGGGATTTGACAGGTTCCTTCTGACTAAGGAAGGAGATCACAGGCTCTCCTGGACTCTGGACTCACAGCCACAGCCCAATGGGTGGTCCCAGGCCCTGTTCCCTGTGGGCCCTGTGACTCCCAGCCACAGGGGGACGTTCAGATGCTATGGCTATTTTGAGAAGAATCCCCAGGAGTGGTCTGACCCTAGTGACCCCCTGCATCTAATGGTCTCAGGTGAGCGGCCCCTGTTCCCATCCTCTCTGAGCACAGGCAGCTCAGGGTCCTGCCCCCAGGAGACATCTGAGGTTGGATGAGAGTGAGGGGTCTGAGTGTTGGTCACCCAGTAGAGATTTTCTCTCAGAGACACACCCACTTTTGCTGACTCCTCCCCATGAACTGGGTTGGGAAGTGGTTAAGTGGGTGGGGGAGTGTCTTCGGGGGTCACAGAGCAGATGTAGGAGAAGCAACAGAGTGATTTGGAGACTCCAGAGTGAGCCCCAGCCTCACCCCTTTCTGTCCTCATTTCCAGGACCCTCTGGAGGCCCCAGCCCCCCACCCACAGGGCCCACCTCCCCAGCTGGTGAGTCCTGGGGAGCTCTGCTCAGAGGGATCACAGCCCACCCAGCAAGTCCTGAGAGTGTCAGGGGATTGAGTGACCCAGATCCTCAAGGATGGGCCTGTGTCCCAGGGGGGCTAGGAGACCCAGGGCTCTGAGGCAGTGATGGTTGGGGTGGTCATGGCAGAAGGGGACATGGGGGCATAGGCTGGGGAGGGGGAGCTGATATCTAGTGAGATAAGGCAGCCCCCACCCCACACCTTTCATCCTCATCCCCAGGAGGCTCCAAGTCAGTGATGGTGAACCTTTTGAGCTCGGCGTGTCAGCATTTTGAAAAACCCTAACTTTGGTGCTGTGTCATATATAGAAATTTTTTGATATTTGCAACCATAGTAAAACAAAGATTTATATTTTTGATATTTATTTTATATATTTAAATGCCATTTAACAAAGAAAAATCAACCAAAAAAATGAGTTCGCGTGTCACCTCTGACAGGCGTGTCATAGGTTTATCATTACTGCTCTAAGTCATGCCTACAGAGGGGTACATGAGAGTATGTGGGGAGGTGGTAGGTTCCTCCATGGGGACAGGGGCTCAACCATGGCGGGTTAAGGAGTTCAGGCCCCTCTGGATTTGCTGATTTGGACATACCTTCCCCTGTCTGGGCCTCAGTGTCCCCAGGTATAAAAGGAGAGAATCCTTGTCCAGAGCTTAGATTTCCTGTTGGTTCTGGCCCTGACCTCCTGGGAGAGGGGCCTCACAGGGAAGCCCCCAGGACGTGATGTTATGGACCCTGTCCCCTCTGTCTCAGTGACGGTGACACTCTACAGGGAGGGACAGGCAGGACAGGAGTCTGGTTACCAGGTCCTACCCCTCAGATCAGGCTCAGCTCAGAGGAGGGAACAGGGTGGATCAGCCCTGACTCAGCTCCAGGCTCTGCTGCTCCTGCTGTGGGGCTGGGCGGTCCCTTCTCTTCTCTGAGTGTCTGGTTCCTGTCTGCTCATCCCTGGTCCCATCCTGCTCACAGTTGATGGGAGATGAGGTGACCAAAGGGCCTCACAAGCTCAGGAAGGCAGAGACCCAGCCCAGCCCGACCTTCCCATGGGGCGTCAGAGCCTCCCAGGTTGAGATGGAACCTGGAGAGACCCAGAGTCCAAATCACACCCTGCCCCTCCCTGTCCCTGCTGTGCTGCGGGCAGGTAATGAGGAAGGACCCTCAGCTCCAGATGAGACATGGACAGGCCCCTGCAGAGGAGGAACCCAGAGCATGAAGCTGGTATGCCCCTGGGGGGCAGCGTGAGGACAGCACATGGAACCCACCATCCTGGGTTCCAGTCCCAGCCCCGCCCCTTGCAGGCTGGGTGACCTGGGGCGTGTGGTTAATCTCTCTGAGCCTCAGTAAAGTGAGTGGTGGGGTCAGCCATCCCTGGTGCATGAGGTGAGAGGACATGAGTGACAGACCCCAGCAGGAGACTCACACACAGTAGGTGCTCATTAAATGTCATCCTTGGCTCATTCTTGACATTATGAGGAGATAGGCTGCCAGGTCTTTCAGGTCTGATTCCTTCCCAGGAGTCATCCCCAAACTCTGCATCTGGGCTGACCCAGGACCCGTTGTCACCAAGAGAAGCCCTGTGACCATCTGGTGTCAGGAGTCTCTTTCTTTCAATTTGTTTTATTTCATTATGGTTTCTTAGGAATGCTCTTTTTCTGACAGATACACATCTGCAAAAATGACCTTTTCTCTATGACTTCTTACCACATGACACACATTACAAAGGCTTCTTTGTAGCTACCATTTGGTTATTAACCCCAACAGAATAATGTTCATCGTCCACGTGCATTTTCTGAATTGTGGGAGCTGGGATTTAGAATCATTGCATGGATCTTTGTGATGAGGAGAGGTCCGTAATTTATGTTTATATCTTTGATTTATATCAAAATGGGGTAATAGATGGACATAATTTGCTACGTTTGGTGCTCACTCAATAATGTAAATTAGTGGGATTTTCCCTGTTATGTAAGGTTTGAAGCAGAACTGTACTTCCTTGGTTGTCAATTCTGTTGTCTTTTGAGATTAAAAAAAATCACATGATTAGCACCCACATTCCCATATTTTTCATCTGGAAAATATATCTACCATTGTAGGTATTCATTATTGTATAATAAATGAGTTAATAAAAGAATCAATAGATGAACAACTTCAGGTGACAATGAAAATAGCAGACCCTGAGAGGAGGGGCCTGGGCGGGGTAGGGTGAAGGAGACCCAGCCCAGACTTTCACCCCTTCATGCTCCTGAGATTCAGGAATCCCTGACACCAACCCCTCCTCCATGGACTCTGGGTCCCCAGCTATTGAGAACGGGGATCTCTCAGCTGTAGGGGTATAAGCTCATGTGGTCTTGAGTCTCAGGCTGAACACAGACACATAGCCCTTAGTTATTTCTAAATTGAGACCTTTTTCTTCACTCATCCTCAGTGCTTGGGCAGAGCTAACTCTTATCAAGGTGACTCAGAACAGGTGCTGAGTTCAGACATCATAGGGATACTGATGTCAAGGTGAGGTGGGAGCCCAGGGTGAACATCAAAATCCTGGAGATTTGGGTCTGCCTTGACCTTTGTGACCTTTGAATCCACATTTTTGCAGCCTCTACACCCCAAGACTACACAGTGGAGAATCTCATCCGGATTGCTGTGGCTGGATTGGTGCTGGTGGTGCTCACGGTGCTGCTATTTCAGGCTCAAAATGACAACAAAAGGGCCCTCGATGCAACCAGATGTGAACACAGTGGGGACAATGCACCGTTCAGAGTGGGGGAGCTTGGAGCCCATCTGATGACCCCAGGAGGTGCTGAAAGAGAATCTGGACCATAGTTGGGGGAACTGTCTGCTAAGAATGTCCAAGGGAGAAGACGTGGTAGGCGCAGTTTGGGTGCAGGAGAATGTGGGCCATGTCCCTGTAGGGAATGCCCCCTCCATCCACCTGGGGTGCTCTCCCTCCCTCCCTGTCCTCACTCACTCTCCTCCACTGCCCTTCTGTTCTCACCTTGTGACATGAGAGTCTGTCCCACATGGCTGGTTTGGATTCACATCTATGCACCCCTTCATGCTGGGCCACATCCATCCCAACTAATGAGGTGTCTTCACAACCCTGCGATTTTTTAAACCATAAAGAACAAAGGACGGGTACCTGGTACATTGTGGGCGAACGTCAAAATAATGCAGCTCAGTGACAGAAAGCGGACACAAAAGATCAGGTTTTGTGTGATTCCATTTTTGCGAAATGTCCAGGAAGA